ATATTTGATATCATCTGTAAGAGTAAGAGTTTCCTTGCACTTCAGAGAATAATCTTACTACATTTGAGTGTGAGAGCTGTAGAACATGAAATACAATCTTATTCTCAGACTTAATTAATTCAAAAGATTCAATTCACAGATTCAATGATGTACATATCATATGCAGTTAACTGATAGAAAGAAAACAGTTCATATAATTGTATTAACTGATATGAGAAGAACATTCATGCTTCTGATATAGAAGAATTAAATCTGCTTACACATTAACAAGTAAAGAGAATAATTCACAAGATCTCATCTGAAAGTATTCTGTATATCATACAGAACTCAGAAGCAGAGAAAATCAAGATAAAGAATATATAAGAGAATAAGTGTATGAAGAAGCTTCTGAAGAAGTATGAGAAGATCTTCTGAACAGATCTTTTATCAGAATTATCACTGAAATGAGAATTCATACATGAGATTGACACAGAGAATGTGAAACCAGTTAATCAGAATATGTACTCTCTGTCACAAACACATCTTGAAGAACAGAAGTGTCAGATCACAGACCTTCTAAAACATGATCTCATATAACTCTCATCAAGTGTGTGAGGCTTTTCACTTCTATTTATGAAAAAGACAGATGAGAAGTGATGAATGTGTATTAATTATCAAGCACTCAATAAGCTTATAATCAAGAATGAATATTCACTATCATAGATTCACTATCATAGATTCAACAACAGTTGAATACAGTTGAAAATGTCTGATATCTATTGAAGATTAATCTTCTCTCAGAATACTGATAGATCTGTATAGATGAACTATCAGTCTCACAAACTGCATTTAATATATAATGAGAGAAGTTTGAATTCCTAGTAATACTATTCAGTCTGATAAATGCATCTGTTATCTTTCAAATAATGATAAATATGATTCTTTATAAACAGAAAGAAACCTCATGTCTTATATATCTCAATGACATTCTAGTCTTCTCAAACTCATATAATGAGTATCTGAAGTATCTTAATAAAGTGTTTACAACTCTGACAGAGTATAAGCTCTACATTAAATTAATAAAGTATGTGTTTAGAACAGAAGAGTTGAAGTTTATAGAATATGTAGTAAGTGACAGCTGTATACATCTTATTCTGAATAAATTGAATGTTATAGTAAATTGATTACAGCTGAGAAATGTATATTATATATAACAGTTTCTTAAGTTAATCTCATATTACTGCAGATTTATCAAGAATTTCATATAAATATCTACATCACTCTCAGATCTCTTAAGAGAAACAGATATAAATCTATAAAAGAAGAAGTTTCATTCAATCATCTGAAATACTGTGTATGAGAAGGCTTTTCTCACACTGAGAGAATGTATAATAATATTCTCAGTGCTTATTTAATCAGATTGTGATAAATCCTTCTATATTAAAATAAATGCATCTGACTGAGCTATTAGAGATGCTCTTCTACAGATAAGTAAGAATAACAAGCTGCATCTGATAACATATAATAGTAGAAAACTATTGAGTGCTGAGCTCAATTACTCAGTGTATGAAAAGGAATTACTAGTGATCAAGCACATGCTGATGTTATGAAATAGATATATTAAAAACAGATATATAATAACAGTGATCACAGATTATAAAAGCCTTGTCTATCTATAATTAATGATGAAATCTTTCAAACACTTAGTATGTTAAATCTCAGAGTTTCAAGTATATAATCTTAATATTAAATACTGAAAGAGATCAGATGCTGTGATACCTGATACAATTAGTTACAGACTCAATTTCATAAGTGAGAATTCCATGAATCAGATATAAGAAAAGTTTGTGTTAAATATACTGAGAGAATACAAGGAATCAGAATGAGTGAATACAATGATCTCTTACTTGAAAAATGACAAGATATTGAATAATAAGTGTTTTATAAAAGTAGTAGAAAAGATGCTTCTGAACTTCAAGCTGAGAAAATTGAAAAATGATGTTATACTTTACTGTAATCTAGAATATGTGAAAGCTCTCTATCTAGAATATTCATTTAGATATGACTTGATGACTCACATGCACAAGGAATTCAGTCACTTAGAAAGCTCTAAACTTATAAGTGTACTCAAATCAAGAGTGTACTGATCAAGCATGACTGAGAATATTCAGATGTATACTTATAAGTATCTGAATTATCAGGTTGTGAAAGAATCTAAGAAAGAGTTAGAATGTGAGAAAGTATAATATCAGATAAAATGTACAATACAATTATTTAAACAATGAGAGATGAATCTCATAGACATATTACTATGAATATTAAATAAAAATCATTGAATAATCACTGCTATTGACTATACTATTGACTGATCAGTTGTAAAAGCAGTTTCAGAGATAATAGAGAAGATAGTGATGAAGTTTCTACACAATAAGATCTATGTTAACTATGAAATACTGTGTGAGATTCTAACTGATAACAGTGCAAATCTTGTAGAAGAAGTAGTGAGACATTTCATAAGTCAGTTACAGACAAGACATTGTAGAACAACATTATATCATTCATGAATAAATGAAAAGATGAAACACTTGAATGAAATCCTGAGTAATATACTGATGAAATATCTAGTGAGTAAGTCTATAAGATTATGAAATGAATATCTCAGTCAGGCACTATTAGTTATGTGAATTCAGCAGCATGTAGTCTTCAAGTGTTCATCATTCTATCTGTTATATGAATTGCATCCGTGCATCTCAGAGAATGCTTCAGAAAAGATGAGAAAGAAAACAGCAGTTACAGATGCAGCAGAAACAACAGTTGCAGATGCAGTAGTTATGAACACAGAATCAAGATTGAAAGAGATCAGTCATGCACATGTAAAAGCTAATAAGTTACTTCTGAACTGAGCAATTTAATCAAAAAGAATATAAGACTCACTAGTTAAGAAATCAAGTCTCAAGATGAGAATATAAGTTCTTGTATACAATGAGAGTTCTGAGAAGTTTCAATCTAGATGATTTAAATCATATAAAATACTTAAATCACATTCTCTGAGAATATATACATTGAAAGAATCAGAGAGATGAGTCTTATACAACTTAATAAATAATTCATATTTTATAAAAGCAAAGATGCAAGATCTGAGTAGATTATAATCATTCACAGCATTATCATCAGTGTTGAAAAAGAAGAGACTTATAATTGAAAAGTCTCACAAATTAAGAGAAATCATAGACACTTATAAATCAGATAATCTCACTTATTCTGATCTTTTCACAATTATAAGAAAAGAATGAGAAGAAATGAAGAAATCAGATGAATATCATACTTTAATAAGTGATGAGACTGTAGCTGATCATATGATAATACACTGTAGATAGCAGATGCAACATAGTAAAGAGTAGTTTCAAAGCAGTAGACTTGTATATGAGTTAGATTACAGAAGAAAAAGAAATTCAGAGTTGAATTCAACTGTTTATACTAGTTCAATTACAGAGATAATAGAGAATGAATCATCTGAAACATTTATAAATATGTGAGATCAAGCTATCTTGACTTCTGAGAATGCTCAGAGATCAGATGAGATTAGTTTCAATGAGCTGTTTACTATAGTAGTCTAAGTGAGTGAAGAGAGATAGTATAATATATGAGACAGAATTACAAAAGATGAAAGCTGCTGAACCTAGTCACTGAATGCTGTATTATATAGAGATTGTATAAGAGTAGTAACTAACAGATAAAGAAAAAGTGTAAGAAAAGAGAAGAAATAATGAATTAATTATTAATTATAAGAGTCAGCTGTAAAAGACAAATGTTATTATACATACTTTATTCATTTTTATATATTACATATTTAATCTATTTTCAATGTCATATCATCTGAAAAACATTAAAAATAAAGAAAATCTCAACACTTGAGATCTGTAAGAAATTTAAGAGCTGTAAGCTGCTCTTATAATAATACTATACATATCTCTGATTTCTCTATCACTCTGTGTATAACATTAATGTCATTTATCATAAGATTGACTGAAATGCTAATATAGAAATGTGTATGTATATAAGTAGAAAAATTGAAGAAGAGTACAGAACTCACAGAATCAGAAGTCAAGATAGAAGAAACAGAGATGAAAGAAATGAAAGAAGAAGAAGACACAGAATCAGATAAATAACAGTAGAAGTCACTCAGAGTTAAATACTTATAACTCAGTGTATGCATAATCTTCTCTGCAGAGAAGAAAGAGAAAGTAATAAGAGAAGCTTAAGAGTGAGAGAGAATAGTCTTAGTAGTGTTATTATCTTTGATTAAAATGATCTCTAATACTGAAGTAACTAAGAACTATTATTAATATATGAAACTGTAAAAGCAGAAGTAATAATTACTGAATGAACACTCACTGATCTTAGAATTATACATGTAATTACAACACATATGAGACTTCTCAGAAAGAGAGAGAGAGACACAGAGAAATGTAGAAAGCAGAACATAGTATATAAACAGCTCATTTTTACAATAATATCTTAGATAAGATGTATAAGTCTCATATCTGCAGATGTAAAAGAGTACAATATTTATATTTCTATTTCTGAAAATATGAATATTCTTCATCTGTATTATAAAGTCAGATGATAAATATCAGAGAATAGACTAATATAGATTAATTATTCTGAAGATATTTATCAGAGTGAATATATCTATAATATTGAATTTAATACTTATAAAAAGTTTCTTAATATCTGTAAATACTATGACTTTGTGTATAATAAAACTTATAACAATTTCTTCTAAGAACAGAAAAATCAGTATTAGAAAGAAAAGATGAAAAAAGAAAAGACTTATAATCTAGACACTGTTAAGAGAGAGAGTGATTCTCTGATATAAATGAATAATTATTTTATTATAAATATTTAAAATAAATATAATAATCAGTGTCTGTAACTGAGCTTCAGATAGTTATATTATATACAGTCTTTATATAATAAATTGTTTTAGAGATTGATAAGAAGAACAGAAGTATATACACTGAGAAATGTGATTTATTAAGCCTATACAATATCTTCTTGAAATGAAAAGAGCTGATAATGAAAGCAGAGACAGTAGAAGCAGAGAAAGCAGAAGTAGTGAGAGTAAGAGTTATAGAAACAGAGATAGCAGAAGTGAGAGAACTGAAAACAGAGATAAGAATAGAAGATTGAGAGAGAGCAGTAGAGAGAGAAACAGTGATAAAAGAGATAGAAAGAAATGCAGAAGACTCAGCTATATATAATACAGACAATTTCTTTATTATCACATTCTTTAAATTCTCAATCAATGATTCAATATTGAGTTCACTATCATCAGCAGATATAGATCTGTCAATATATAAACATTTTATATAAATAAAAACAAATATATTGACATCTGTATTCATGTAAAATTGTGTTAGAAGACACAATCAGAAGCTCACTGAGAAGAAAAATAGTTAAGAGTGTATAAGAAGATAAAGAAGATGTGTTATTCATAATAGTATATTCTGATAATTGTTAGAAGATAAACAAGTTCTGATTATATTTCACAACATATTACATTTACTGCTAACAAACTGCCTGATATGAGCACTACAAGAACACTTGTTATAAGAACAGAGAGTCATCATCAAAAACACATACAATGTAATAGATAAATAACAGATAGAAGATATTGAATAGAAGAAGAGACAGAAATCTTGAATAAGATAATAACATTCAATAATGATAATGATGAAGAAGATGATTGAAGAATGAGAAAAGTTAGTGAATAAGTAATATAATATAGTGAAAGTTTCTTTGTAAGAGTGTATATAAGACACTAGCTGAATCAGAAATAGATTATATAATTGTGAACACTAGTGACACACTAATTCACATAAAGCTAAGATGTATATTATGATTATATGAGTGTGACTGAATCTGATGAGAAAGAATGTAATTCAGAAGAATGTATAATCACTGAATAATAATGCAGTCACTTCTGAACTTGCTTATGAATGTAAAGAGGTTATAGCAGCCATCAATTAATTTAGTGTATAGTATATAAGAAGCTGACGTATGCCTGTAATTGTACACTGACTCAAGCAATCTTTGAATCACACTGATAATATAGTAATAAAGCTTTAAAATACTCATGATTAAGTAGAAGTCTTTATAATAAGTGCTAAATAAAATTAAGAAGATTAAATTAATATCTGATAAGATTCTGCAGAGCAGTATAAGATAGAAGATCTTATATAATTAAATCTGAGAAATATATAAATTATATACTCATTCTATATATTAAATTATTAATATATAAAATACATAGTAACAGAAGTTCTAGACAGTTATAATTATTATCTTAATATTTCATTAGAAATTTATAATATATTTTACATAAGCTTGTTTCACTGTACTATCACTGACTCATACTCTTTTTAACTGACTTTCAACTGACAGCTATCAGAGATTATAGAAGAAGATAATAAACTTGAGTAAGAGATTAAGAATATTCTTAATAAGAGACTCTGCAGCTGCAGCTGATAATATCTAATAAAATAAGTCAGTTATACTTATCTAATCTAAACTCTAAGTTCTGTATTATCTGAGACTACAGCTCTTGACTGATAAGAATTATACATAATTAGAGAATAAGAGAGTTAATGTAGTAAACTGCATCTGATTAATTATATAGACTATTCTATTATACTTTATAAATTTCTATCTAAACTAACTGCTAAGACTATAAATTTCATATTTAATTTCATTTAATCTAATCTTATACATTTCTTAATATGAATTTCACTGAGACTAATTATTAATAAAACATACAAAGTGACTATATATCAGATCTCAAAATAAAATCATAACTTAGAAAAATTAAGAAAGTAATCTTATTTAATCTTATTTAGTTTTATTTTTAATATAAAGTTACTATTTTTAAATATTTTAAGGTTTTTTTTAGACTATTTTTAATTTTTTAAAAAGTAATGCTTTTTGATAACACTTAAATAAGATTTAAAGTCATTTAAAGCAATAAAAATAATTTAAATTGAGAAGTGAAAATCATGATCTCATTTGAAAAATATGATAAGAGTAGACTGTAAGTCTCACTGAAACAGTATGAGACTACTATCTAATGTTAAAACCATGTAATGGGATCAGTTGAATTGGTAATGAGATTATCAAATATTCTGGTCCTGGTCCCAGACACGGTCACACGGTCAGTCTATTCCTGCCGAAAGCTCCGATCCTCAGTCGCCAATCCTCAGCTGAAAACCTACAGAATTCCTATTCTTCCACCCGAAGCTCCACCGCGTACGCCACCACATACACATATAAATATTCACTTCAATCACTGATTCCCACACTTTCTCTTTCTTTTCCTTTTCTAATGTTTTTCACTTTGTTATATAAGACCTATAAATATTATACCGATCTATTCAGCGTAGGCCTCTTACAATAGCATTCCATGCCTTCTTAGCTGCCTCTATTAAAGCTCTTTTGTAGCTACTGTAAGAGCGGATGTAAAAAAGTGGTAAATAGTATGATAAAAGCAGCATTCCGACATAACTGGTTTTGGGTTAGTGATATCTTAGCATCACAGGGGTGGCAAGGGGGGGTTTCAAACTTAATACCTGACACTATATAAATAAAAGCTCATACTTAGATAATTTCTCTATTTTCAGTAGAAAAGATGATTTTATAAAGCAGTAATTATAAATATTATCTGATTTAAAAAATCTGTAGCTATAGGTATAGAAGTCTCTTAATATATATTCAAGGACCTAATGATGCCCGGTGGTGGCTTAGATGTCCTGTTTGGTCCGTTCTTGACTCTCATGGCGCCTATCCCCGGGATCCAACGACCCAAGATCTCAACCCCATCACGCAGGGAAGGAGAACGTTCAATACCACGAACCTAGTAGTGAATCCGAAGGCGGACACAGCGATGACGATTTCGCGCCATCTACGAACACCAACAGGTCGGCCACTTGGCAAGAGTAAAGGCAGAAGTCCCAATGCAGATGATGATTTACTTGTTTGGTACGGTCATGTATGAGGGCTCCAACCTCCCAACCCGAGTCGAAACTGTTAAACAGACGTCTTGGCGTTTGGAATGGGACGTTGGCCCTAAAACATTCAAAATTGGCAGTCCCGACGCCTATGTGAACTAGCATTAGTGAAGGTGCTCTTCTCCAAAAGGGATTTAATGGTGCTAGATGGATGGGGTGAACAGGGTGGTCTGGTATACTGCTCTGTCGAGGTAAGTGTTGCTGACACGATGTCTAGACGAAGGCCCGTTTCACCAATTGGAGTGAGGACGGTTCAACCCCAGAGCAAGCCGTGGCTGTTATGACGCAAGAGGCTTCCTAGCTGATAGAGATGATATGTTAGCGCCTAAGATCTGCTGTGATGATCCTGGAACTGATCTAGCTCCTGTGGACCTTTCGGAATATGACACAACGTAAGAGACTCTTCCCACAAAATATTGGCCCTGCGCCTGTGGTAGTTAACTAAGCCTGGAGAGCTCTCCTAGTAAGGTTGTTCCTTGTCTCGGGAACTTAGCGCAGGGTGTACCTAAAGGTCGCCATATTCAGTCCCGCGTATATTCGCTACTATTTCGCCGACCTCCTGAAGGTGGCACCGTCCAACCAGAAGGGCAAAAAGGACAGTAAAGATACAACTACCTCGTGAGGATCATAACCCTAAATTCGTGCTTTAGCGAATGAAGACTGACGGAGAAAATCATTACCTAGGATAACATCGCTGAAGATAGGGATGAAAAACGTGAATCATGATCCTGGTCGTCCTGCGGTCCGTATTTTTACTAGCCGCGGATATGATCTTTCTCGACCGGATGTGATTGAGGGGGCAAATATACTCCTTGCGATGGGTGACTACTTGGAGTCCAAAGGACCATTGCTCAAGGATATCGAAAAGAAGTAATAAGTGTGTGGCCTGGGGCTCCAATACTTCAAGTCATAGGAATTTTACAACTAAAAGAGGCCTGCTGGCGGGTCCTCTGGGCAACTAAGATCTCTGACTGTTTATCTCTCCTTTTTTTTTTTTTCTTGTTTTCCATCACTGCTCGACTATCAGTCCTTTGTTGACTTATGTGTACCTATAGAGTTCAGTCCCCCCTCATAGCTTCATCAATCAGTTCTATTACCTGTCAAGTTTTGCCCGATGTCGACGCGCCGTGAGAGATTCGGAACTGCATCCTGTTTGAGCAGATGGTTATCCCAGCTTATTGGCCAAAATGCATGGAGTAAGCACAATAGCGCATAGCCATCAGAAGTGGTGGAGGATCTGCACAATCGTTCTAGCTAGCGCTTAATTATGATTGGTGACAAATGTTCTATTCTTGGGCGCTATCGTCATTCCACAAAATGCGAAGGTCGAAAAACGGAAAAGTATTGGTCGAGGAGGGCGGCTTAGGAACAGAGAATCCGAGATTGGTCTTGTGTCTCCAAAACATTGTGTCTCCAAAACATCCGATGCAGGAGAAATTTCCAACTTTAGCACTTCTAAAATAGGTTTAGTAGAGTCCTCCAGGGCGTTAAGATGTTGAGCAGGGGATGTGCCCTCGAACGAGCCGCACATGGGTGCCGGCGGGCCAGATTAGAAGTGGCTAAAGCCACAAATGTTAACATCCACAGGAGAAATGGGGCGCATAATAAATGGCTTACACAGATGGCATTCGCGCAGCACTAATTCTCAGACTAGTGGTTATCTGGGAGTCTCTGGGCTTGCTTCTGTGCCGCAGCAATCAATAGCGCGACCACTTCTGCATATTTCGAGACGCGTCTCCATCGTATGATTCTCTTCTCCTTCGCTACGTCGGACAAGTCCTTCGTTTCCCACGGATTATAGTCATCATGGTTCCTGCACAAAATAGTGACGATGGGGAAAAAACTGTCTGTCCGGGTATCATTCATAATTGGGGAAGTCGACCATAATTTTCGCGTTCTGAGATGTATCTTGTGTTGTTTTCCCCCAGTTTTTGCAGGTGAAATGTAGCTTAGGGTGTCTATACAAGGGCCCGCTTCTGTGTAAATGGAAAATTATCAGTTATACATGCGCATTTCAATATGCACTTACCCAAGAAGAATATAAAGATAAAAGAACGAAGAAAGGAGTGCATGGAAGCCTCATACCCATAGCTACTCGTATCCACGATCATACAGGATCCCATATCAAACAGCAGCGGCGCCTTCCTCCATAATCCGAACATGATAACTCACGACGTTGTGGAATCGACCCCCAGCGGCAGAACGTTGCTGCATGACCTCAGCCAAATTTGTATCCGACAGATCACTCACAATAGGACACCCTAAGACATGATCGATGGGGCATTCCATATCCACTCCCTCAACACGTAGCACATCCAAATGCAAGTCGGACAACAATTTCGGGTGACAGTAGAGCGATTTCCTGGTTGTTTTGAGCAAAATTTCGCTGATCGACTCCGGGCCGTTTTCGTGAGGTTTGAACAATCGAATGGGTTCAGCTGGAGGTGGAGAAGTAGGCATCATAGTTTATCCTAAAAAGAGCAAAAGGCTCGCGTGAAGACCCCGAATTTCGAATTTGAATGTCAGGGGTTTTTGTTGAGGATGAACGTGAGAGAGAGGAAACAAAGGGACGACATTAGGATCGATGCATGCCCGCTAGTTAAGACAAACCGGCTTACCTTACTAAGCGCGGGCGTCCGACGCTAGTTACATAGCGGATCACAAAAATACAACTGTGCGTGTGGATCGCTCTACGAGTTAGGCTCTAACAGTCTGAGGATCGGAAACTGGATTTGCGAAAATCCTTCCCCTGGACACCGGCCACCCGCATCCTCGTTTTCCTGAGAAAACGAGGGAAAGCTAAGCGCCAGATGCAAAGCCTGGGGTATAACCTGTTTCTGTTAAAAAGAGCTTCTCCTCTAGAGAAGTCGCAGTTCTCTACACTCTTTCGGAGCGTGCTAATTCCCCATCTAACCACAAACGATAATTCCATCTCCACTAGCGTCTATCTAAGATTCCAACCAGCAAACCCAAATACGTTGGTGAGACAGCTATCACCTACCTATTTATGGATGTGTTGGAGAACTCCGAAGACGGTCTTCTACCAAAATCTAGGTAGCAGAGCGGTTGGAGCTTCTATGTCAAACAATTGTCAACTAATCAACTAAGCAGTCAATACATACAATCGATCAGATCAATCGTTCTCACCAAATCTCACCAAATAGGCCGTATCTTCCAACAGATATACGGTTATGGTGAATGGAAGCTAGTCCGCCCGCTAACTTTGGGGTTCTTCAGCTTGGTTGCCGACAACTTCACCACTGAGATTAGGCGCGGCACCGTTACGTATGACAATGTTGCTGCGTTCCATTTTGCCATTGAGGTTGGCGCCGATGAGAAGATGGTGCGGGAGGTATTCGAGTGGAGCAAGTTGAAGAAGGGTAATGACGACGTTAAGGGGCGCGGATTCAAACTCGTGCGACTCGGCCCAGGCTCTACGGATCCTAACCATGGAATCGGTTCTTCCTTATCTCCGCCGGGCGGTGAGAGAGGCCGAAGGGTTTGTCAAGCCTTATACATGTGTTCTGGCTCTAGTTGAAGGGCAGCGGGGAGCCAAATGCACTGGGGCAGCGCTGGGCTCTCATGGTTGTTATGACTTCGCTGAAGTTATGGTGGTTGAATGTGGGTGGCAGTGCGAATACGACTGTGATAGGCAAGGGGGAAGAGATTCATTACAACCGATCCGTTCCGTAGATAATCTGGGCACAAGGGTGAAGATTTATGTAACATCAATAATGTCGTTTTCACAACTTAGAATCACAACTTGGAATTTCCCTACAGGAGTTGGGTCTGGGTTTTGACAATATCGGTGCTTGAAGGTTTATCAGAGGCAAAAACAGATGACCGCATCACACAGTTAGCTATCTAATGTACAGCACACACTACATTGCAAATCGTCATGATTTCTGCTGGTACGCTATCAGTTCCCCAGATAAACGAAGCCGGTTTCCCCTTCCAGGTCGTTTATCAAAAGCCAAGAGACCAACGTTGAAGCCCAGTCTCAAAACTCAAGGACCCGCAATGCTTTATATCGTGGGGCCATCGTTCATTGTTGAGGGATTGAGAGATGGGTACTCGCTCATCAATAATATTGGAAACAAAGTACATCCTATTGGCGGGGTATGGGGTGAGGCAACAGTTGTACCCAAAAGCATTGAGGCTTCGTGAGAGGATTACAAGCCAATAAATAGCCGGGGAAAGCAAAGTATTCCCTGGCCTCCACGATGCCATGCTCATGAATCTATGAGTCTGAGAGGAATGGCCGGGCACTCGGACATATATACGCTGTGATGAAAAAGATGCGTGGGAAGCACACAAGCGAGAGATCGTGTTAGAGCACTGAGTTGGCTCGCCATTTCATAAGGGTAAGATGAAAGAAGAAGCGCCCAAAGCTGCCACGAAACTTGAAACATATTTTAGCCAATCATCCAAAAAATCTTGTCATATGGTTTAGAAGGGTATCGGAAATAAAAGGGTCGTGGGATGTGGCTATTCCTCGGCTTCAAGCTTGTAAATGAGAGGAGACGGGTTTTTATCCTTTTTGTCTCGTGGAATATATTTGCAGGTAAAGGAAGTAAAAAAACTCTGGAGTAGCATCATTATAAAGACGTGACCATTTTCTATTGGAGAGATGTATGCTAAGCAACGCACAATTCTGCTGATGCAGGATTGTTGCATGGGTAGAATGCATCATCGACACTGAGCAGGCCTTCATATGGGGCAGGCCGGCTCCGTCAGACGCCAGCAAATTGATTCCCCGAACACGATAGAGGAGGATATAGATTTTCTTAGATTGGCTAACTCACCAAGAGTGGTCGCCCCATTATGCCTGTGAGGAGCATATGTATGTATGCACAGCTAAAGTTCCGTAGGCAGTTTTTGCTAGCGTCACCGCCAGAAACTTGTTTGACAAGACCTATCCGAGTCTATGACCTGTCTTCTGCTTTCATATTCAGCTGGGGTCTCGTAGGCATGATTGGGTGCGAGACGATGAGCCGGAGCCTGTAGAATATTGGCCCCAGTGACGGTGAGAGAATAAGGGAGCAAAAGCTGCAGGCGAGCGTTCTTGGATAAATCAGCCAGCGGGCGATATCTAGCGCTTCGATAGGCTGGACATGGGCGACAACCATTCCCTGCCACAACCACGCTGTTGTTCGGGGCCTTGAGTATAAATGGTTAAATACTAGGCGTGGGCCCTTCCCTTCCCTCCTCCGCTGTAAGCCAGGGGACACTTCCTTGAAGTTCACAAGTTCCTGGAACTTGGAACTGTTCTTGTTCAGCGGTCCTTGTCAGCCAATCCCATCTTCAGGTTTCACGTTAGGCGTGGAGATCGCGCGGTGCTAAGTCCAAAGCCCCGGGGGCGGAGCTATGATTCAAATATCCCCGTCAAGAGTCTAGCCAGCAGGCTCCATCGAACGCACCTAGGAACTATTGACTGTTTCACGCTGGGGGCGATATTGATTCCAAGCGCCTTGCACACAGGGTGGTCTGTTTTGTTGGGTGTGATGTGTCTGGAAAATTGGCATCATCCCTCGTTAATAGTTTTGGCGTCGGTTTATGGCGTATTAAGTTAAATAAGTCAAAGCGACTCGAGGACGCCCACCCTGCACTGCGCCTGATCCCGCTCTTGTTCCTCTCCTTTCTTTATCAGCGACAACACACTCCACCACAACCAAACCACCATACCATCATTGCCACCAGCAAAACCTGGAACTCCGACTCTCTCCCTATCTCCAACCGATCCAACCGATCCAACCGATCCATAGGACCACTACGGGCCCCCCTAGCCTTAAAACTCGCTAGTATCCAACCCCAGGTCCTTCACGTGCAGGTACACTACATCCAATCTCTTTCATCCCAGCAGACAGCGAGCCAGGTCATCGGACTCTAGCAAGGATAACAGGACCTTTGAGCTCTTTTGGCAACGACAGAATACCGATGACTGTCAGCGAGAAATACTCTTCAACTACCAAATAAGAAAAGTCGTGATTAACTCTATCCAAACCGCCTCCTCTCTTAATTAAACCTTATCCTCTACACTTCTTGACTGGTGAAACCTTAGTTGAGGGCTCACCGGATCGGATCACGACTTACCGACGGAACCTTAGGATCCCGCGATATATCAGATTACGGTTTCTAAATATCTGGAGGTCGTGAAAGAATCACAAGAAATTTATTCTCTACGAACAGTTAGGGGTTGAAGGGAGACAGAAGGTTCCCGGAAATAGCAGGAGCCGCGGAACCTACTGGGATCTCCCAGCGGTCAACCTCTCAACTACCGCCGTCTGAACTGGGAACTACTGCGATGAAGTGAACCGGACAGTTAGCTCGGTCTCAACCTTGGAAGCTTGTTGTCTAAAATAAGGTTAACTCGGTCTAATAAGCTTACTTCATATCAACTACTTCATAAATCATCCTTCCGCGCCGCCCTCGCTCATTTTACCTTCTTCCTATTCTTCTTATTCGTCTATTGTGAACGACCATATCGTACAGAGCACCCACACCCAACATGCATCCGCCTTTGCTGCCTGAACTTGTGTACAAAGCCATCTTCCCAAAACCCCGTATGAACGAACCCGCTACATTTGCGGCCCTTATCAGCAGACATCTTGTTCCTGAGGTTCGCATCGAGACGTCGACCTTCTATGGCCCCATTGACTGTGTTGAAGCCCAGTATCCTGGGCTCGATTATTCCTTTCCCCCGCACCGAATGAGGCTGGGTCGTTTCACATGGCATCAGAAATTGTTCAAAGCCTTCGACGAACTAGGATTGACGGAAGCTGAAATCGCTTCGCTTTGTAGTTGGGAGGGTACAAAGTCTGCCAGGGATCGTTACGAAGAGAATAACTCTGTCCAGGTTAGGGATACTACGGCAGACAGCATTAGAGCAGCCACCCCGCCAATACCACCGTCGGTCTATATACATACCTATGAAAATGTTAACCTCCAAAAGTCGCAGCCTCTGGTTCTGGAGAGCGAAAACGGACTTCAGGAGTTGGAACTCAAATCAGAGCTTCAGAGCGGGCAAGAAGATGAGGACGAATCTAGTGATGACGATGATGAGATGGAAAGTTGTGGGGTTATGTTAAATCAACGCCTAATTCAAGCAGCGGAAGCACGACAACGAGGAGCGAATGTTCCCCTTGATGAGGACTGGGAGCAGTGGCTGAAGGAAGCCTCTGAACAGAATGCATATATAGGAATGCTTCATGCAATTCGATCTGGCCGGCCGCTGAACGTGTCCTTTAGCAACATGCCTTTGCACCCGCCTTCGTCATCGTCAACCACCACGCCTGGTGCTCGCAGCCATAGGACCAGCTCGAGCAATACCAGGCAGAGGCCCGTTTCGATGTCAAATAGACGTGCCGCTCCCGGATCTGCGGTAATGGGACCCACCATCGGATCCAGGTCCGCTGTTGGCTCGTCGTCAAATTCCACCTCGGAAGCTGCGAGATAGCTTCAAATGATAAGCCCTCATAGCTGTTTACGATACTAATTATCATCCTAATTCCTGCAGAAATTATCCTATTGGACTCTCCTCCCAACACTGCCTTCTAAATACTCACTGTTTGCTAGAGCTGGGCGCATGGCTCAGTTCATTTTCTTTACACTGTGTGATGCATTTTTCTGGTGCGTACTTTGCGTCGTTGGCGTATGTCTCTTTATTTCATTGTCGGGATGGCGTTAATACTGGTGGAACATAATGGCGTGTCTGCGTCGTTTCTTCGATCTCGCGTCTTTCTAGCAGGTGTTTCTGCAAATAGATTTCTTATCGTTTTCTTCCATTTTTTCGAGCTACTCAGCGATGTTCATGTCCTTTTTCTAGATACGATTCTTTTTTATGATGTTCCCCCCCTAGCCTTTCCTTATCTTTCAGCTCTTTATCCAGCTACGCAGTGCTTTGTTAATTGAGCCGATCAGCGGCTTCCCCCTGGTGTTCACTTGAGCGGATGGAATAGCGCATTTGAAACGGCCAATTGATACTTTGTTAATGAAGGGTTTGGGTTATTTTATTTTTCGTTCTCTTCCTGTGCATCATGCTTTTGTTCAAGAGAGCATTCATCCATATTTCTCTTACTCAGTTGTGGGCTATTTATTTAATAATAGTATGAAACAGTTGTCACCTTCTGTTTAAAGAATTACTATAACTACTGAATTTCTTTGGTTTTAACCAAATGAAGTACTATTACATCTGAACTCCTTTTTAAATATAGTACAAATATGGGAATCTTTCGACACGCTAATCAATATTGGCGTTGCATTGGGCTTAATTGTATTATTGGTTGGTCCCACCACACACACACCCACAGGTCCTGTTGAAGCTAGCATGTGACTTGGGAGCTTGAGCTTCGCTCCTCCATCGTCAAAACACCCGAAGGCGCGCGCCCTCGACCAACGATAGGGTTTGTATGATGTATCTGAATGGCGCAACAAAGCACAGGATCAGCTAGGCGACCATGGATAGGCTAAGCAATTGTGCTGTCTATTATTGTCTAACTAATGACGACCGCGCCAAATCCCGAGGATATGGTACTTGCACCTAGTATTCAAGGCTATATATTTGTCCGCATTGAACGAAAATGATCAAGGCAATATTCTATAGCAAGTTCGACACCCAGGAAGGTAAGAGACCGACCTTATATCTCACTACGTAACTAGCAAGCTCCACGCGTACGTTTTATGCTGTAACTCGAAGCTAATAGGCATCTTCTCTATCCAGGCCCAAAGGTCGTTCACCAGGTTCCTGATGGAGCCATCGTGCCGTCCCCAACAGCACCTCCGAACCAACCTCCCCTGATTACTTTCTCTGATATATCCTTCTTCGTGATTCCGCGACAGGAACTATGCGGCAATCTAATCCACGTCTGTTCTGGTGGTTATCGCATCGTTGGCTCCCCCGTGTGCATGACCTCCCCGAAATACGATCGAAATGAGTTTATATTCAACTTCTGCATCGTGCTGGCGGAAGATGAGGAATTTGGCACTTTCAAAAGCGTTGTGCAGAAGCTGGCGCATCTAATGTGTGGGCTAGAAGAGCAGTCTGGATTTTTGTCAAAGGATCTCTCGAAGGGCGGAGAAGGGAAGGTTTACAGTCTGTGTGAGACGTTGATGGAGGATTTGAATAATTATTGCGAGTGTATGATTCCAATTGGTATGTTGTCTTATCTGTATTCTTGAAGGATTTGCCTCCCTCGTTTTTGAACAGTTTGTTTTACCCCCGTGGTAAGTGCGATTGTTAACTGACACCCTCGGTCAGATGAACTCAACACTCTGAATATCAAGTTATTCCCTATTTATCCCTCACCACCTATGGTGAAAGCCTGGCATGTACCACTATTCACGGTTCGATATGAGGCCTTTGTGGATGAAAACTGGGATCTGACAATGCTAAGAGTAAGTTTGGTCGCAGTCGGACCTGCATGAGCCGGGCTTTTGATTTATATGGGAAAACCATTCTTACTCATTCTCTAGATCGTACCTTTTATCAACGGGGTTAACAGCGTTCGCATAATTTCGGCGCTTGCAGATACGGACTTTTCTTTGACATGCAGCGCGATCCGACATTTGATCTACTACGGCTGCATATTTCTCCTAGATATCTTCTCCTTTACGGCAATATATGCCCCAACTGCTCAGTTCGGTTCAACCATCGCAGTGGACGAAGACATGCAGCGTGAATGCGCACGATATGTAAATACTCGTTTCGCTCCCACCCCAAGCATAACTGCACCACCGACAGTGACCGCATCCACCCAATCTACCGTATCATCCAGTTCACGGAGCAGATCGAAGGGGCGTAGAGATGACCATGTGGACCATGATGATATATGGCCTTTGGTCGCCAACTCGGGGACTGCCTCCCGTGACCCCGCCGGCCAGCGCGCCAGTATCGTTGACGGGGTCGGACTAATTGAGCTTTACGCCAGTCTTAGACAGGGAAAGACTGTCAAACAGTGGTATATCGAACACAGCCGCGAACTTGCCAACATTGATTTAAGACGCTTCATAACATTTGGCGTCATAAAGGGTTTCCTGTATCGTGTTCATAAATACGCCTTTGCAACCGGATATCTAGCACAACCAGCAAGACAACACCGGCATGGTCTTGTGCCGTCATCGTCCTCCTCATCATTTTCCCAAAAGAATCAGAGTGAATCTGTCGCCAGTGGCGGTTCTGATTTAGGAGGAGCAGGAGAAGGTGGAGGGGGGAGAGGACGTCGTTTGTCCACGTGGAGTCGTCGGTCAATTAGCTCGCGGGACGGGAGTGATGTGACGGCGTTTTCGACTACTTCGTATACCAACGACGACAACGCCGTTGACGATGATAGGGACGATGATTACGCTTTGGGAGGCGAAGAGGAGGCCCTGATTGACGATAAGACACTGGGAAAGTATCTTGATGGCGCCCATTGCTTCGATCAGATATGCACGGAGCTAGAAATCAGTGAGAAAGAACTTACCGATCGGCTGAAGTCGTATCCGTTTGAGGTACAGATTATTGATCGGTAGATTGGATAATTTATGATGTACGTTGTTGCTGTTTTCCCGGATCTGGAACCGTGCGCGGAATGCCTGTGCTTTACTTGGATGATTTATATAACTGCAATCAATATACCCATATCCTCTTACGTAGATAATGTTAGAGAAAAGTCCACTTCTTGCACTTCTTGACACGGTGGATACATCCCGTTTTCTCCTTAACTCCTCAGAATCAGACGTTATGATGGGAGTGAAGGCAGCAAAAATTGGACTCGGTGAACGTTGGGATGAGTTCATTGAATCAGTGATGATTCCTGAATTTTTTTTTAAAAAAAAGAAAATAAGCCAGACGCACATTTACATCCTCCCAATAGTTCTTTCCCCCTTATTTGACAGCGCGCCCAAACCCCTTTCCGTCCTAAAACCTTGCCCTGAAGACGCCTACACCGGGTAAAATCCTACAAAAACCCAGAAAATAAAGAGCAGGATATCACGAACAAAAACTGAAACCATTCCCAATCCACAAACCACCCCCCCAAAAAGCAATAGGAAATTTGGATAATACCGTGGAATAGAAGAAAAGGATAGAAACAAAAAGATTTGTTTGGTGGTGGTCTATTCTTGCTCCTCGTCCCAACCCTCCAACTCCGCTTTCTCGTACTCCTCCATGAGCGCAGGGTCAAAGATACTCTCGTCTTTTCCAGGCACTGTCGTTTTGCAATCTTTGAACACAGGACCGATGCAATCAGCCCACCGCTTCCGACGATCCATCAGCGTGCGGGCCACATCGCCAATTCCTGGCCTGCTTACACCCGCTCCCGAAGCATTGGGCGCCACAAGATGGCTACCCCCGCCCGCACCGCCAGGCCTATGCTTAGCCTGCGAGCCCTTCTTGCTTTTGCCAAGCGTGCGCGTGCGTTTAAGGTATGCCTGTTGGACTTGAGAATCCAGGTCGTCGTGGATCGTGCTGTACTCTTGATAAGCAAGGCGTTCGCGGGCGATTTCAAGGAGCCGGGCCTTGCGGGCACCATTGACAATCATTTGCTTCTTCAATTCTGCCTGTAAGAGACGTAGGCGTTCCGCGATGTCATCGTCGTAGTGTGCGTCGTAGTCTGGGTTATCATCCTGGCCAAAAATCCCAACGTAGCGAAGTTCAGCTTTCAGTCGTTCGTCCAGCTGTCCGTGTTCGAGCTTGGCGGCTGGTACCTTGAAACCATTCGGGGACGCATCCACGAAGGTTGTCGCAGAGTTAAACGGTTTCGTATCAGACTCTGCACCACCCACAAGGTTGTCTAAATCCATTGTGTCTCCATTCACTGTGGGGTTCGTATTGGCATCCTCATTGTTAGTAATAGATCCCGCCGTGTTTTCCTCCGGTAGAGTGCGATGTTCGAAACGAAGCAGGGAGTATAGACGGCTGACGAGGGGAGGTGCAGAGATTTGTTCTGTTTCTGCAGTTTCATCTGTCATCTGTTCAATGCTTCCACGGCCTTGGTTTAGGGGAAGCTGCTCTCGTTCTTGAGTAGAAGAATCAACGTTGATTGACCCGTCCTCCTCAGCCCAGATTTCAGTGTAGTGTTTTTTGTTTCGACGCGGTAAGAGGAAAGGAGTCGTGCGGTCACCCTGTGTGGGAGGAGTTAGCTTGTAGTTGCAGAGATTTCCACCCAAAATGATCGACTTACCCTCTCCTTAAGAAACGCAATGTCCTCCTCCGTTAGCGGACGAACATACGGTTCAATATAGGTGGCGAATGTGTTGGCGCTGACTTGATTGGTAGGCTTTGCATTACTGAAATCTTTGTCTGGAGGAGTTCCCGTCATCATATGGCTGAGATCACTCTTTGGGAACTGTGCGACACTGTAAATCTTCCGTTTCTCGTCGTCTGTCATTCCTGGGGTAACGTCTCGGATATGATAGATAGTGGGATCATCAAATGTGAGGGGATCAGGCCCAAACACTTGATATTGTGGAATAGATGGCGCCGGCTCCGGCTGGTGAGAATCTGAACTATCCATGGACTCGGGCGAACCCGCAGTTGAGAGCTGATCTCCAGGGCCAGTGGGCGCTGGAGACGGTGTGGGCGACAGCGAGGAAGTACTGGACACGATATTTTTTGACTTCTTGGAAGGAATTGAAGCTGTATTAAGCGAGTCTTTCGCACCGCGGCGATGTGGAACTATTCTATCTGTTAGATTCAAATCACCACAAAATAGGATGCAAAAATGTTTAAGGTGAGACAAAGGTGAATGAAAATAAACAGTGTCATTGCTGTTATTGGCAGCCAGAAGTGAAACAAAATGCAGACTAGTTGCGGCAAGCGATATAACAAAATGGAATGCTTACTATCTGTTTTCAAATCTGTTCCATCCTGCTTGACTACAGCATGAGCTCCGTGTGATAGCGGTCTATCCTCTTTGACAGTCCCTCTATCCTTTCTCCTTTTCAGCTTCCCCCCTTTGGAGGATCGCCCCGCATCGTCGTCATCGTCTGCCTCTCTCTTCATTCTCAATCGTTCGTCTGCATCTCGACTAAATTGCTCGCGCTCCCTCAGTTCCTCAAGGGCTTCTTTTCGTTTCTGTGATATCTCTCGTATTCCAGCATTGCATGCTTCGCCTCTTGCCTCAGCAAGCTGGCTGAGGGTTTTGAGATGCTCCACTAAGGACTCAAGCGCTCTTGGCTCGGGAATCTGGCCGCTTCCACCCAACTTATCAAGGATATCGGAATACTGCACTGTCGTTGGCACGAGCATTTTTGAAATATCATTGTCCAGAGAGCCCAGCCCGGTGACGGTATTAGTGCTAGCAGAGCTAGGAGTTGTGTTGCGGCTTCGGGATCTCCTAACTTCGCGGCCCTTCCCTTTACTCTTATTTGCGAGTGGCGGAGGCATGCTCGATGATACCTCTTGGAGGTTTGAATGCCCGGATGACGGGGCGGCAGTGCAAGGTGGGAACTGGGTGGGTATAGTATGTAATTTTCCCAGGAAAACCAATGATTACTATATCATCTATCTATAGAGGATACCCGGGGTGACCAAATTAGCATGGGCATCAACTTCCAAGGATTTCTACACAGCGCAACACGAGAAGGGGAAGATCAAACTTTTGGGTGGGAAAATTCCCCAAGGCCTGGGGCCAACTTACAGGTGTTTGGCGCAGGTCGCTTAACACTTTTCAGGTGATGAGGCGGTTTAATTTCCCTTTGGATGCCGTGTGCACTTCATATTCACCCTCTCGCCATGTCTCTTGCGCCGCAGGTCTGAAGTCGAAGTCGCGATCAACTGAGGTCATTGATATCACATGACTGGACTCCACAGTGTCGATATGCCAAGACATTTTCAGGTGTTGGTTCTCTAATCTCTTTTGGAATAGCGCGAAATGGCTCCAGGAAAGCCGCGGTTGTTTTGTCTTGGCTGAATAATACAGCGTAAATCAATAATATCTCTCTATATATTAAAGAAAAACCAACTTTTCCGTGCAAAAAACGCTGTAACATGACCTCACGTGACATCATGTGTACCCCATCAAAAATCCATGGATATGTAGTGGCGCCTGCCAATTGCACCACTCTATCTACCCTCTACCATCACCACCGCCTTTAACACCCCGTAGCACCCTCTATTACTTCCACTTCATACCCCTACCTTCATCTTACCACTGACTCTTACCACCCCTACCAACCTCTACCACCCCTACCACCACTGCCTCTACCACTTCACAGCCCCCCCTATCACTTCCACTCCACATCTCTACCCCCATCTTATCACTCACCCCTACCACCCCTACCACCCCTACCACCTCTACCACCACCACTGTCTCTACCGCCTCACAGCCCTCTCTATCACTTTCACTTCATATCTCTACCCTCATCTTATCACTCACTCTTACCACTTCTATCATCTCTATCATCTCTATCATCATCACTGTCTCTATCATCTCACAGCACTCTCTATCACTTTCACTCTCTATCTCTATTCTCATCTTATCATTCTATCTCTCTCTTATCATCTCTATCATATCTCTCACTTCTATCATCTCTATTATCTCTCTCTGTCATCTTTTTCACTCTCTAGTCTCTCTATTATTATTATTATCTCTACTACTCTACAGTCTCTTCTATCACTTTCACTATCTTTACTTCTCTCTTACTATCTCTATTATATTTTGATCTCTGTATTTATAGTATATACTGCTAAATACTCTGTAATAAAATCTCATGTGATATTATATATATCTCTTTGAATTCATGAATGAGATTGAATAGCTGACTCTGCAGTCTGTACAGCTCTGATTAATCTGATAATAGTGATAGAGATGATACAGAGTGGAAGAGAGTAGTAGAAGAAGTAGAGATGATGATAATAATGATGATGAGAGAATAGAGAGTGAAAGAGGTGAAAAGAGTGATAACAGTGAGTAGAGATTGAGAATGAAAGTGATAAAGAAGGTTGTGAAGTGATAGAGATGATGATAATGATAGAGAGGAATTGCGGGGCGGTAGAGGCGGTGATGGTGGTAGAGGGGATAGAAGGTGAAAGGGGTAAAAGGGCGAAAGAGCTGAAAGGGGTGAAAGGGGTGAACGAGGTGATAAGGGGGATAAGAGAGGGGTAGAGAGCATCAGAAAGGAGGGTGAAAGTGT